CATGCGTAGTATGAATTGAGCACAAGCATGTTGTCAACTGTTACATACGACAAAGTGTGAAATTGGCAATAAATGTTACAGATTTTGTGTAATTTTTTTAAATAGTAAATTCCAATATTGCCTTAAGCTAGAAACAACAAATACAATTTTCAAAGAAATCTACCGTGACGTTTTCAAGAAAGCAGCTTTAGGCTTCAGCCGCGATTTCCCAAAACACGTCAAATGTAACATACGACAATCATTTCTTCAAGCGAAGATATGTAATGAATCGCATACTCATAAAGAAAAATTAGGATCATTGGAACAGGGGGAGCAGCTCCTCGCACACAAACCGAATTTTTCAGGCTGCATCTCTCTGGAAGTGTTCATGCTAGAGTATCGGAACTTGGTATGGATATATATGACAATAGATGCCGTGCAATAAAGCCATAGGAAATAACGCCATATGGCTTTATTTCACTTTACATTGAGATATATAGTCATTATGGCGTTATTGCACCTTTGATTATATTTTGTGTAATGTTTACCTAGTGCACAGCTGGTGTGCATATGCTCGTAAAGTAACTCGGTAATTCTCTAGTTGAAGGTACAACTAGCAAAACAAAAAACAAAAATGTCCAAAACTGTCAGGAGGGGTACCAATCGGCGAATTTTTATCCTTGTGTTAACGATACCTTTTTGAAATGTTGTTCTTTTTTATGAGTAATTGCACGCTCAAAAATGCACTAAATCACCAATATTCTCTTTTGAAACACTTGTAAAATTATGTTATTTGAAAAACTTTTTCAAAAAGTACATAAATTTTACAACAAGATTGTTTATTTTGTTATTAAAAGGCAAGTAAATAATGTTCCCGAACTGAACGAGAAAATGCAAAATGGCGCAAAGTGCTGCCACCTTATTTATATTTCGTAATAATTCAGTTTTCCTTATATGGCGCCTGCAATGTTCAGTACTTTTCGGTTTTGTCATTAGAAATTTTATACACACTTTAATTTTTTATAAGTATATCTCACAGATTTAAAAGAAAATCTCATAGATATATACATATGCACGTGTACATATATATTAATTTGTATGGATAGATGTAAGTACGTATGTATATGCAATTTTCTTTTAACACCCGGCTTAAATAAGGAATTAATAAGTTTTAATTCTCCGTGTGTTGAGTTATCTTAAGCTGCATTTTCCTCAGGCAAAAACGACAGCTTTGTCTGAACCTACATCTCAAAGTGGACCTTCTCCGGTACCTAAAGAATTAATCGTAGTTCCTGCGAATAAATCTGTGCAGTGTTGCCATTTTAGCCGTTTTCCGGCTAGATTTAGCCGGATGCGATAGCAAACAGCCGGAGAAATTTCGATTTAGCCAGCAGCCGATTTGTTAGCCGTTTTGCAGAAAAAAATTAGCCGTTTTTAGCCGATTTTGCTATTTGCCTTGTTTTCTTAAATTTCAAATATGTTGTTTCCATTTTTGACTAAGCCACCCAAAATCTGTTAGAAATGGCTACTAGCCTTATCGTGGAGAACATTTTCATGTCAGACAGGGCTGTATGAAATTGGGCCGATTTCGCTTGTTTTTATTTTAAACGAAGAAGGGATTTTCTTCATAAAATGTTTGTTATAAATGTCTTAATTTTAAGTGTGAAGTTTTATTCGCAAACTTAGAAAATAAGAAATTATTTCACTGTTAAGACACTTAAGATGCGTTTGTGTTTGGATATAGTGCCAACAAACAGAATAAATATTACATGTAGATATTGTCTTCCCAGATAGCGCATATTCAATTCTGCCTAAATTACAAAACATTATTTTTGCCCACTCCCAAAGGTTCAAGGTAAGGGAAAAATTGATATTTTCAAGCACTATTTACACATATGTATTTTTTTAAACACACTTTTTTGCTGAGAACTTATTTAAATTCCAAAAACCGAATGCCAACTTGAATTAAAGGAACCAACACTGAATATGTAAAGCAAAACTCTCTGGGAATCCTACGAGACATCTGCCGGTCATCTAAATGGGAGATCTGCAGCCTTTTGGCATCATATTTTACATCAGAATTGTGATTTTGCATCCCTTGTCAAGATATGGCCTCGGTTGATGTTAACTTAAGGTCGTTGTTTTACTGCCTTAAAATTGAAGGGAAATTTTTACAGCGTTTTTTATGTGTATTGGTTTCTATTTGAGTGTATCGAGAATCGGTCAGTCTGAAAAGGCCTTGTAGGGAAGACAGTAGGTTTGTTCGTCGAAAATCCAGCGAGAATTATCTTTCAAGATATCAGTGTAGAGAAACTTGCAATTTTCTATACGAACGCAAATTTGCAAGCTTTTCTGCCAGCTAGTGCATTTCAAACAAAAGAAATTTGTATAGAATTTTTAAAATTCTTTCAGAGGGACAAAAAACAGGATCTACGTGTATATATCTGGTCAGTCCGACTTTCTTCAACATACGTTTCTATTTCTTTGTCGGGTTTACTATATCGACTCTGGTTGAGAAAGTAGACTGGAGACTAGGCCTCGCCAGCTACCAAACCTGCTATTTTATATTATTATTATTATTACAAATTAACATGTATAATTAGTCTGCTCTGTAATATATCACACATACTTAAATATCTAAATGTTCTATTCTCGTTTGTGTGTAAGAAAACATTTTTCTGTAGACCAAATAAATAAATAAATAAAATCGGTAAGATGCATATTAACCTGAGGTATGTATAAAATTATTAATGACAAAAACGAAAAATACTCAACCTCATATACATATAACGGCGTTTAAAGTACAAAACCGCGTAACTGACATTTTTTGCCAAAAATTGGATTTACTCACCGAAGCTCTTGGCTCAAGCCTTATCCATTCGTGCTGAAATATACTAGCCAGAAATACGATTGCTTTATAAAAGAGAGAACAATTTTGAAATATGAGTGTTTTTACTCCCCACAAAATAATTTATGCAACCTCACATACGCGGTTTTGCATTATATTGATACGCGGTTTCGTACTTTAAATGACGATATATAGATATATAAATATATCTTAGTGATTTAAAAGAAAGCCTCATATATGTGCATTGTATACATACATATCATTAAAAGCAAGAAGAATGAACAAAGCAACAATTTTATATGAGGGCTGCGCGGCGCGTCCGTACCGCTGCTAAAAAGACAACATTTACTTTTTGTATTGAAATAAGATCGTATGGCTTCATTTCTCATACATTAAATCTTTGCTTACGGCTTTATGTATTTCACTTTCCCCATGGAAATAAAGCCATTTGGCCTTATTTCTCCATGTGCAGTGAAATAAAGCCATATGGCGTTATTTCCATGGGGAAAGTGAAATAAAGCCACAACAAAGAGTCACAACTCGAAATAATACGTTCGTCAGAAAATACGAAAAGCTATTTCGTAGCACATGCTAATTATATGGGGAAGGGCGACTTTACCTAAGGGTTTTTTTAAACAAATTATAACAAAATTTGCTCCAGCTTTTGCTGAAAGGTAAATAAAGGCTCTGTGTAAATTTTTAGCGCATAATTTCATAAATGCCAAATTTTGAGTTGTGACTCTTTTGAAGACGGTGTGCGATATGAGAAATAAAGCCATACGATCTTACTTCAATACAAAAAGTAAATGCTGTCTCTAAAACCTAAGGCCTTATTTCTCCATGTGAAGTGAAAAAAAGCCATATGGCCTATGGCTTTATTGCACGGCATCATGAAAATAATCCCATACTCATGGAAAAAATGGGGGTTATTGGAAAAGAGGGCGTGGCACCTCCCACATAAACCGAGTTTTCATACTGCATATCTCCGGAAGTGTTCATGTTAGAGTAACGGAACTTGGTATGGATATGTCTGTAATCAATCCCATACTCCTACAGAAATTTGCGACTATTTGAAAAGGGGGAGTAGCGCCTTCAAAACTTACTGAAACGTACGTATCTTTGAATATATATATTATTCTTATGTATGTACGTGAGTTTGTGAGTGAAACGATTTTGAAGAAATTGTTTGTGTTTGAGTTGGTCTCTGGATAGTTTAGAGTCACAGTTTGACCCGGCACAGGTGGCGCTGGAGTCGAATTATTACTAAAAATCTTATCATCACAACCATTGCGCTCCTTGATAAAACATTTAGAGTATTACGATACTCACCCAGTTTGAAATTGCCACTAACTATATTATACAGTTTCATGGACAGATTCACCATCAAACCGGACCACTGTTGCCGCCAGGGAGTGAAGAGGAAAAAGTTCTTCAAATTTATTTCGTTGTGCGATTAACTGAGCTGTGAAACGCCAGATCATTGAAGAATTTCAAGTACTTCTTCATGGACATACACTTTCGTTAGGTTATTTAAGACGGCAATGGAAATATTCCTTCTGATAACCACCAAACCGTAACATTAGGAGATAAATGTGCCACTGGAAATCGTGGACTGAATTGTTGTTGAAAATGTTGCACCAAAATGTTTCAATAAAAATAATGAATTTTGGGCGGGCCGAAGTCCGCCGGATCTGCTAGTAAAATTTATAATATTAAGGGCGGCAATGAGTTTTACATTTTTCTGCTAGGTAGCCTTCTTCATAATTTTATTATCGAAATTTAATTTAATCTGATGAATCCGTTGTTTAATATGTGCGCAGATGTAATTGCTCAAGCCACTCCGTTTTCCCCAGCGATATGTGAGGCAATCAAAACTGGTCCTACTATTCCATCAACAACTTGTAGAATTGAATGTACACTTATCACGTTACGACGTGTCAAGACGTGGAATCGCTCAAGGATGGGAGACACAGGTCTAAGCGGCCTGTGCATGCTCAGTATTTACAGGGAAAGAGATGAGAATACTGAATTTATTCACAAGGTGATTAACATATTTGGACTAGGTTGACTCCTTCAGCTTTTATAAAAAAAGTTATAATAAATGTTATTTTTCTATGAAATTTCTCTCCTTACAAGGAGGTACAGCGATGATTAACTGAAAAAAGCTCTTTTATATGTATACTATTCGCATTCAACTAAAGATTTTAATAAAAATGTTAAAATGACGTTATAATGTGCATAATATGTATATATTATAAATTAATAACATCAACGTTTACGGTTTTGCGTATAAAAGTAAGAATGTCAGCAGCTTCTTCGATCCTTTTTGTCGTTGGTTTACCGGCACCATGGCCAGCTTTGCTGTATACGCGTAAAAGTATGGGATTTTCTTGAACAGAGTCTTCAATAGCTCTCTGAAGAGTGGCGGCGAATTTTAAAGAATGCAGGGGGCTTACGCGGTCATCGTGATCAGCGGTTAGAATTAAAGTTGAAGGATATTCTTCAGACTTAGTTTTTGGAGTATGCACATTGTGCAAAGGTGAATATTTAAAAATATTTTCGAAATGTTCCTTTTCGCTAGGGTCGCCATAATCCGAGCACCAAGCTTTACCAATAGTGAAATGATGAAAACGCAGCATATCCATAACCCTAGCGAAATTGAATATGTTTAAAACTTAAAAGCAATTTTTTGTATTTATTGACTTACCCCACTTGTGCTATCGCAACACCGAATAGATCCGGTCGTTGATTGATGCAAGCACCTACTAATAATCCTCCATTTGATCCTCCTTGTATTACAAGACGATCTTTAGTCGTGTATCGGTTATTAATTAAAAACTCCGCGGATGCTTGAAAATCATCAAAAACATTTTGCTTATGTAATAGCCGCCCTGCGTTGTGCCATTTCTCACCATATTCACCACCTCCTCGTAGATTGGGATATGCCAATACACCGTCAAAAGTGTTAATAAACATCAATCCTGTTGCAGAAAACGAAGGCTGTAAGCTTATGTTGAAGCCTCCATAACCGTAGAGTAGACATGGACGAGGGGAAATAATTTGCGTTCGCTTGTGTATAATAAACATAGGAATTTTAGTACCGTCGTAACTGTCATAGAAAATTTGCTTTACTTCGTAGTCATATTGACTATATCCATCCAAGCGTAGCTTAATTTCACGCAATATCTTTAATGGTTCTTCTGGTGTCTTGAAATCGTACTGGTAAATAATACCAGGATTTAAAAATGATGAAAAGTTGAAAAAGAATTCAGAATACTTTTTCTTTCCGGACACAGCCACAACAGTGCCAATATCCAAATGGAAATTTCTAATTAAGGTTCCTGTTTTTAAGCTATTCACTTGGAGGGTACTCTAAAATAAAAAAATTAAATTGAATATAGTTCATGTATTAAAAAAGTAATAAACTAAAATAATTAAAATTATACCTACATACGTATATATAACGTATGAGGTGAGTTTTGTCAAAGGCTGAGATAAGCTCAGCCGATCCAGAGTCGAGTGAAGGTCCCACTAACCGTCACCAAACAAAACATAATACGGCTGTTCAAGATCTTGTGCATATGCTATTACATTAGGGGTATTCTCGAAGTCTTGCACGATGCTAGGATTGCACGAAATGCAAAAATACTATTCCAAATTTGAAAGAGTACGAGAGAACCCCATTGCAAAGTGGTAGCATGCATCGGTAGCAAACAGCGAAATTCTGTATCAAATACAATAACAAGATACAGCAAAAAAAATGAAGTGAGCGAGATGAGAAGAATGAGAGAAATATGTAGCAATTCCAACAACAAAACAACTAGCACAGGGTCGCATTTATTTTTCTATGCTTTTTTGCAAAATATATACATGGGTTTCGATGTTGCATATTTTGCAACGATAGGAAATGGTGTTTCCCATGTATTTTGTTGTTGCGTGTTTGCAAGTTATGCATTCCGTGCAATCCGTGCTAAGTACAACGGCTTTGCAAGATTTGGAGAATACCCCTATTGTATATTCGGTGCATCTGTAAATTCACAACAATAAAATGCTCAAGGTTGCCATGGCAGCAAGCATAAGCACTTGTGGTTCTACGAAACTGTGAAGTGAAAATGAGAAATTTAATGTCAGTGAAAATTTAATTTTTTTCACTTTATCGTTTCGTTATATCATTTGAAGCGATTCAGTTACATATGGGCAAAAAGTTTTAATACATTAAATTATTGTTTTATAAAAACAAATTTTTTAAATTTCATTTTAATTTAGATAGTGGAAATATTTTGATTTTAAAAATGTATCACATATTTTCAAAACGTATGTATGAATAAAAAATAACCAATTGCTTATTCTTAAAATTTCAGAAATTTTACTCGGTTTGTTCAAACGAATTAAGTATTTAAAAGTTATGCAATTTTAAGAAAAGGCAATTGCTTATTTTTGAATTAGTTTATATATTCATTTGCTGTCTCAAAATGGCTTTTCGGCTATGCGATGGAGTAAATTGAATACGCTTCATTGGAAGCAAGGCCAATTTCATTTATTAATAATTGAATAAATTGAATTTAGTTTATTTCTACTTTCCGAAAATTTCCAATGCTGCTGATTGCTGCAATGATTATTTACCATATTGGAGCATAATCAACACAATATATGCACATACATATATATTATTTCACAGATCTCAGGGTTGGCTTAGAAATACCTCAATTCAAAATTAGTTATATTATGAAGTTACTTACCGACCTATATAATTAATGCTTATTAAAACTGTTTATTTTATTATATTTAAATTAATTTTTTTTTTATAAAAGTATAGTTTATTCTTAAACCCGTATCAACTAAAACATCAATGTTTGTGTAATATTAAAAAAAAGCTAACAAACTTTTGTAAAACTTTCAAATATTTTGAGTATGCAGTTGTGTAGCCTTAGTCAAATTTTAGTATAAAAAAGTGCAAGTTCGAAGTAGCTGACACTTGCCGTTGGTTTTTGCCAATTTTTTTTTGTTGACGATGCCAGTTATTTTCTTCCATATGAAGTACATGTCGACGCTTCCAAACCATACCATGCTAAGTCACCTAAGACTTAGTCAGACTTAGCATGGGTTGGTTTTTAGGCGTCGATGTGTTCGACGATTTTTTTATATGGGAAAATGAGCAACGCCTACGGGAAAAAATGATAAAAATCAACAATAGTACTTATCGCTACTACTAGCTACTTTAAACTTGCACTTTATTATACCAAAATTGAGTGATTTACACAACACTCAAAATAATAGGTGCTTAGTATTTATGGTTTCAAATATATATCAACTCATGTAACTCAAATTTTTATGAAACAAAACTTAGGAGTGATAATAATGCAATTCCAACTGCAAATCCAAGACCATTTCCACAACATCCTAAACAGCCCTAGTATTTTATTGTGTTTAATTCGAACACATACACACACGGCGCTATAAATAGAGTGCCGGCAACCTTATGTCCGAGGAGAGAGATAAAATGATGGTGTTTCCCCACCCGCTACAGTCCCCTCCGACTTCGGCGGACGAAAGGTTGCGGCATATTAGGGTTTTGGTCATATGGACCTTCACTACCCTAGGCAGAGCTTAGGTAGTATTTACCACCGCAGGAAGTATGGTGGCTCGGCCGGTGTGCGTGGTATCCCAGTACGTTATTATTTTATTATTATTATTTTCTTTTGTATATGAAATTATTCTACTTTCAAATTCTTACCCTGATTTCACATTCGCTTCCCTGTGTATGTCTGAGTACGAGTTTAACAATTGCAAATATTCGGACGGTAGTGTAGATATATGTATATATTATACTAAGTTCCCACGGCACGTAATTCGCTCTCCCATTCGTAAATGGCTCTCTCATTCGTAATTGCCGCCCCAATTAACCTTCTAATTACGTGATTCGCCATACAAAATTTCGCGAGCGCATTACCTCATTTGTAGGTAATTCAAATCCAATTACCATGCGAATTACGAACAAATCGCTGGCGTCTCTAATTTTAATCGAAAATTTATCGAGCTGAGCTATCAGAGCAAGAGAGAAAGAAAAAATCAAAACAAAGGGAGGAAATCAAGGAAAAACAATGAATTGTCAAATCGAATTAGGAATGAGTCATGTAAACGGGGCACAAATTTAATAACTACATACATTTATGTATATACATTAGGGTGCCCATCGAAAAAGCTTTTTTTTTGGAAATTTCAGGGTCTACCCCAAAACTTAATTTTTTTTATGAGAAATATCATGGCTTATTTTTACAGATTTTTGAAAGGTCATTTAGAGGTCGCGGTTATATGATATATGCGTATCTCAAAAACCACTTGACCGATCTCAACCAAATTTGGTACACACACTTATCCCTCTTAAGCGCCACATTGAAAATTTTTGAAATCGCACAAAACCACGGGCTTCACCAACGTAACGGTAACTTCAAAAACACTCAAAGCTTGCTATATTTAGGGGGGGAGTAGGTTTTGTCCGATTTCAAAAATATTCAAGACGGTACTTAAGGAGGCCAAGCACAATGGTCGAAATCGGTCGAGTAGTATCATATAAGCGGGCGGTGCCACTCCCATTTTCCTAAAATTTCCTGAAAAACCACGTCTTTGCTAAAGAGCGATTGTATATATCAGTTTTGAATAAATATTGATGAATTCATTAGCCACACTGCTCAAAAAATCTGAAAGTCCGGTAAATAAGCAATATAAATTCAAGGCCGTATTTAAAAAAAGTCGCCTAACTTCGACAATTTTTATGCGACTGCAATAAGTGAGCTATCAGTTTATTTTAAAATTGGTTTACTTTTAGATAGTACTACATAACTTGAAATTGTGTAAATCATCGATGGTCGAAATGTAAAAACTCAAGGGAAATATGGGTTTTTTATTTTACCCGATAAAAAAACCCAACCACCCAAGTCCGACAATAGATCATTCTATACCATTTTAAGGGCCTATGTGTCCTCTCTTCAGATCACATTCGATCTTTGAAATCGAATCAAAAATAGTAATTAAAAAACTAAAAAATCTACAAAATCCTATTTTCTGACCTAAATCGACAGGTCGCGAACTCTAAATGACCTTTAAAAAATCTATAAAAATAGGCAATAATATTTCTCATTAAAACGAATAAAATTAGGGGGTAGGATCTTGAATTTCCAAAAAAAAAAAAGAATTTCCAATGGGCACGCTAATATACCTACATATATCTGTACTAATATATATTTTGAAAGCCGTTTTTTTATGTTCGCAAAGCTCGAGATCGGATGTACCGATTTTTTTGAAATTTCGATTATGGGTTCTTAGGTTTAAATACTTCCTATAGAATCTAACATACATGCCCACATAATAGCGCTGCTCACCTGCAAATCACAAATGAGAGCGCCCTCTGCTGTTAATTCGTACGGAATACAGCGCAAAGCAAGGGTTATGTATACATATACATACGTGCTAATGTTAACGTTAATGTTGATTCTTATGTTAAAAAAAAAAAAAACAAATATGTATGTACAGTTCACGGAGAAATAATTTAGGCAATGTAGAGTCGTTTATGTTGCCACAAGGAGCAACTAACATTGCTGTTAGCATTTACATTTGTATATGCAACTTTACGGCGGAATTTATTGGTCGCCTAAAAAATATTATTTTTGGTCGAAAGACCTTTATTGGTTTAATCAATAATTACAACCCAACTTAAATGCTAATTTTACTTCTTAATATAACCTAATTCTACCTGTGTCAGCATTAATTACTTGTTGACTTGATTTCGCGCATGCCGGATGTTGTTCCCAATTTAATTGTATTTGCTTACGGTGCGTCTGAACCGTTTCCTATTTATTAGTTATAATTCTGCATATTGGCAGAATTATCGATTGTCAATATGTTTACATTAATTTGCTTATTAATTTTACTGGTGTTAACTCCTCCGCCGCTAAAACAAACGTTCCCGTTTGTTCAAATTAATATGATAGTGTTATTGGATCCGGTACAGTGGGTATTTCGGATGATGTGACTTCTTTACTGTCAGTCACGCTGACGTTGACGTTGTAACTCGATAGTTCTATTGGCTTTGCTTTGCGATTATTTTTTATGACTAATGCCATGATTAATGCTGCTAAGCAGATCATACCGACAATTGTTAGTTAAAAATTTGTGACTAAGGCTGCTGTGTGGGTGGTCTGCAATAACTTTAGATGTTTCGTGTTATTTAAGTGGAGTTCTTTCATCATCTCCAAGCTCAGGATTTCTTCTTCTTTATTTGAAGGAACATTTGATTGCAAAATTGCGGGTAGAGGTTTATTTGTTAATATTTCATTAAAAGAGTATTTTTGCTTGTCGATCAAAACCGTGGAATT